TTATTCGGACACCTGGCATAGTGGATAAAGGCGTTAAGTTAGATCTAGTGACAGGATCCAAAGGGTGTGAGTTCGATACCCGGTTTAGGCAGTGGAGAACTTGGAGAGAGGAAATAACTGACAGTCATTAAACATGGCACGTGGAACTAGAACAGTCTACGCCAGTGAGCGAAATGAAGGGTTCAATTAAATCGTCAATTTATTTTCGTCAAACTGAATATCTGCTTCTAATCTTAAAATAGAAAATACAATAAAACGATGACATTATTTAATTAAGAAAGCTCTTAATTGCATTTATAAATACGATATATTAAGGACACTATTGTCGTCAGAAAAAAAAATTGATGATTTTTACAAGAATTTTTAAATTTTTTTTTAATTTTCATTTTTTAAAAATTTTAATTAGAAATCTTTTAAATCTTTTAAAATCCTGTATTATTTTCAGCCATTTACATTATATTATTAATTGAAAACTATATTTACTAATCATAAATGGAAAAGCTTAATCGAACATCAGCTTAGTCAGTTATCGAACATAAAGATTTTTAAAAGAATTTTGAATGATATTTTATGTATGTAAATGTGCCCATTTTTTAAAGTATGTTCGACCATACAGAAAATAAAAGAGATGATTATAATACATTTAAAGACAACGTTTGTAAAATTAGATTATGGAAAATAATTTCCGATATTTTTAAGATTACTGAGTACTTAAAAATTATATAAAAAAAGGCCCACACGTCATTTTCTTAAATTATGTTTAAGAGATAAAGTCTCCTTAAAACATCAATCTCTCAACACCTGGACAAACAGGTAAACATGGCTACGGTCAGTTAAAAACACTGACAGTCTTTAATTAGAAAATTAATTTCTACGGTTTTTTTAAATTAAATTAATATTTACTTCAAATAGACTCTTCGAAAAAGATTGTAAGCGAGTCCAAGAAGGTGCTTGTAAGCAAGTCCAAGAAAGAAACTTATTAGCGAGTCGAAGAAGGAGCTTGTAAGCGAGTCCAAGAAGGAGCTTGCAAGCGAGTCCTAGAATGAGCTTGTAAGCAAGTCCAAGAAGGAACTTATTAGCGAGTCGAAGAAGGAGCTTGTAAGCGAGTCCAAGAAGGAGCTTGTAAGTGATCCAAGAAGGAGCTTGAAAGCGAGTCCAAGAAGGAGCATGTAAGCTAGTACAAAAAGGAGTTTGTAAGCGAGTCCAAGAAAGAGCTCGTAAGAGAATCGAAGATAGAGCTTGTAAGCGAGTTCAAGAAGGAGCTTATAAGCGAGTCCAAGAAGGAGCTTATAAGTGAGTTCAAGAAGGAGCCTCTAAGCGAGTCCAAGAAGGAGATTGTAAGCGAGTCCAAGAAGGAGCCTGTAAGCGAGTTCAAGAAGGAGCCTGTAAGCGAGTCCATGATGGAGCTTGTAATCGAGTCTAAGATGGAGCTTGTAAGCATGTCTAAGAAGGAGCTTGTAAGCGAGTCCAAGAAGGGGCTTGTAAGCGAGTCCAAGAAGGAGCTTGTAAGCTAGTTCAAGAAGGAGCTTGTAAGCGAGTCTAAGAATGAGCTTGTAAGCGAGTCCAAGAAGGAGCTTGTAAGCGAGTCCAAGAAAGAGCTGGTAAGCAAGTCCAAGAAGGAGCTTGCAAGTGAGTCCAGGAAGGAGCTTGTAAGCGAGTCCAAGAAGGAGCTTGTAAGCTAGTTCAAGAAGGAGCTTGTAAGCCAGTCCAAGAAGGAGCTTGTAAGAGAGTTTAAGAAGGAGCCTGTAAGCTAGTCCAGGGTTAGGAGCTTGTAAGCGAATCCAAAAAAATAGCTGGTAAGCGAGTCTAAGATGGAAATTGTAAGCGAGTCTAAGAAGAAGCTTTTAAGCGAGTGCAAGAAGGAGCTTGTAAGCGAGTCCAAGAAAGAGCTGGTAAGCAATCAAAGAAAGAGCTTCTAAGCGAGTCCAAGTAGGAGCTTGTAAGAGAGTCTAAGAAGGAGCTTTAAGCGAGTACAAGAAGGAGCTTTGAGCGCATCTAAGTAGGATCTTGTAAGCGAGTCCAAGATGGAGCTTTTAAGCGTGTCCAATAAGGACCTTGTAAGAGAGTCTAAGAAGGAGTTTGTAAGCTAGTTCAAGGAGCTTGTAAGCGAGTCCAAGAAGGAGCTTGTAAGAGTCGAAGAAAGAGCTTGTAAGCTAGTCCAAGAAGGAGCTTTTAAGCGAGTCCAAGAAGGATCTTGTAAGCGAGTCCAAGAAGGAGCTTGTAAGCTAGTTCCAGAAGGAGCTTGTAAGCGAGTTGAAGAAGGAGCTTGTAAGAGAGTCGAAGAGAGAGATTGTAAGCGTGTCGAAGAAGTAGCTTGTAAGCGTTCAAGAAGGAGCTTGTAAGTGTGTTCAAGAAGCAGCTTGTAAGCGAGTCCAAGAATTAGCATGTAAGCGAGTCCATGAAGGAGCTTGCTGCGAGTCTAAGTAGGGAGTTCTAAGCGTGTCCAAGAAGAAGCTGTAAGCGAGTCTAAGAAGGAGCTTGTAAGCGAGTCTAAGCAAGAGCTTGTAAGCGTCTCTAAGAAGGAGCTTGTAAGAGAATCTAAGAAGGAGCTTGTAAGCTAGTTCAAGATGGAGCTTTTAAGCGAGTCTAAGAAGGAGCTCGTAAGCGAATCTAAGAAGGTGCTCGTAAGTTAGTCCAAGAAGGATCTTGTAAGCGAATGTAAGTAGGAGTTTGTAAGCTAGTTCAAGATGGAGCTTGTAAGCGAGTCTTAGAAGGAGCTTCTAAGAGAGTCGAAAAAGGAGCTTGTGAGCGAGTCTAAGAAGGAGCTTGTAAGCGAGTCTAAGAAGGAGCTTGTAAGCGAGTCTTAGAAGGAGCTTGTAAGCGTGTCCAAGAAGGAGCTTGCAAACGAGTCCTAGAAGGAGCTTGTAAGCATTCCAAAAAGGAGCTTGTGAGCGAGTCTAAGAATGAGCTTGTAAGCGAGTCCAAGAAGCTGTAAGCGAGTCTAAGAAGGAGCTTTTAAGCGAGTCCAAGGAGGAGCTTTTAAGCTATTCCAAGAAGCAGCTTGTAAACGAGTCTAAGAAGGCGCTCGTAAGTGAGTGCAAAAAGGAGCTTTTAAGCGAGTCAAAGAAGGAGCTTGTAAGCTAGTTCAAGAAGGAGCTTCTAAGCGAGTCCAAGAAGGAGCTTGTAAAAGAGTCGTATAAAGAGCTTGTAAGCGAGTCTTAGAAGGAGCTTGTAAGCGAGTTCAAGAAGGATCCTGTAAGCGAGTCCAAGAAGGTGCTTGTAAACGACTCCAACAAGTAGCTTGTAAGCGAGTCCAAGAAAGAGCTTGTAAGCGTGTCTAAGATGGAGCTTGTAAGCATGTCTAAGAAGGAGCCTGTAAGCGAGTCCAAGAAGGGGCTTGTAGGCGACGCAAAGAAGAGCTTTGTAAGTGAATCTAAGAAGGAGCTTGTAAGCGAGTCCCATAAGAAGGAGCTTGTAAGCGAGTCCAAGAAGGAGCTAAGCGAGTAAGAAGGAAGCGAGTCTAAGAAGGTTCCAAGAAGGAGTAAGTGAATCCAAGAAGGAGCTTGTAAGTGAATCTAAGAAGGAGCTTGTAAGCGAGTCCTAGAAGGAGCTTGTAAGCAAGTCCAAGAAGGAGCTTGTAAGCGAGTCCAAGTAAAAGCTGTTAGCGAATCTAAGAAGGAACTTGTGAGCTAGTCTAAGAAGGAGCTTGAAGCGAGTCCAAGAATGAGCTTGTAAGCGAGTCGCAGAAGCAGCTTGCAAGCGTGTCTTAGAAAGTGTTCGTAAGTGAGTCCAAGAAGGAGCTTGTAAGCGAGTCAATGATGGAGCTTGTAAGCTAGTCCAAGATGGAGCTTGTAAGCGAGTCCAAGAATGAGCTTGTAAGCGCGTCTAAGAAGGATCTTGTAAGCGAGTCTTAGAAGGATATTGTATGAGATTCGAAGAAGGAGCTTGTGAGCGAGTCCAAGAAGGAGCTTATAAGTGAGTCCAAGAATGAGCTTGCAAGAGAGTATAAGAAGGATCTTGCCAGCGAGTCTATGAAGGAGCTTGTAAGCGAGTCTATGATTGTGCTTGTAAGCGAGTCCAAGAAGGAGCTTGCAAGCGAGTCTAAGAAGGAGCTTGTAAGCGCGTCTAAGAAGGAGCTTGCAAGCTAGTCCAAGAAGGAGCTTGCCAGCGAGTCCAAGAAGGAGCTTGCAAGCGATTCCTAGAAGGAGCTTGTAAGCATGTCCAAGAAGGAGCTTGTAAGCGAGTCCAAGAATAAGCTGTAAGCGAGTCCAAGAAGGAGCTTGTAAGCGAGTCTAAGAAGGTTCTCGTAAGTGAATCCAAGAAGGAGCTTGTAAGCGACTCTAAGAAGTAGCTTGTAACCGAGTCAAAGATGTAGCTTGTAAGCGAGTCCAAGAAGGAGCTTGTAGGCGAGGCCAAGAAGGATCTTGTAAGCGAGTCTAGGAAGGAGTTTGTAAGCGAGTCTTAGAAGGAGCTTGTAAGCGAGACCAAGAAGGATCTTGCAAGCGAATCCATGATGGAGCTTGTAAGCGAGTCCAAGAAGGAGCTTGTAAGCGAGTCCATGTTGGAGCTTGTAAGCGAGTCCAAGAAGGAGCTTGTGAGCGAGTCATGAAGGAGCTTGCAAGCGAGTGTATTAAGGAGCTTGTAAGCGAATCTATGATGGAGCTTGTAAGCGAGTCCAAGAAGTAGCTTCTATGCGAGTCCATGATGGAGCTTGTAAGCGGTTCCAAGAAGTAGCTTCTATGCGAGTCCATGATGGAGCTTGTAAGCGGGTCCAAGAAGGAGCTTGTGAGCGAGTCCAAGAAATAGCTTGCAAGCGAGTCTATGATGGAGCTTGTAAGCGAGTCCATGATGGAGCTTGTAAGCGAGTCCATGATGGAGCTTCTATGCGAGTCTATGATGGAGCTTGTAAACGGGTCCAAGAAGTAGCTTCTATGCGAGTCCATGATGGAGCTTGTAAGCGGGTCCAAGAAGGAGCTTGTGAGCGAGTCCAAGTAATAGCTTGCAAGCGAGTCTATGATGGAGCTTCCAAGCGAGTCTAAGAAGGATCTTGTAAACGCGTC